GTGTCCCATTTAAACCAGGCCACCTAAATATATCCATCAATACTGACGATACAAAAAATATTTTATACGTAAATTGAGTGGTATGAAGAGACCAATACGCTGCAAAAAAAATTATTTTTTAAAAGTCATTTTTTTCGGAGTTTTCAAAGTTATTGATATATATAAATTTTTTTTGCATATAAATGCATATTTTTTTTATTGCATCGTATAGCTGATGTTAAAATACGTTCAGATATGTATATGATATTACATTTGAATTGACCTATGACTTCGAAAATTAAAATAAAATTAGTGCTATTGAACTACGAATGACCTCTGAAAGTCTTAAGAGTCTTGATCATTTCCAAGCAATTTATCGATCGCGATGATTTACTCAAAGCAAGAGAAAATTGAAGGAGATATTTAGGTGGCCTGGTTTAGGTGGGACATCCTGTATATATATATATATATATATATATATATATATATATATATATATATAAAATAGTCACATAATTTTGAGGACTTTTGCGCATAGATTGTCGTAACTATAGACACAAGATGTCAATTTTAGTTGAAGGATTTTGCTATAGTTATGCTTTAGAAGAAAATCGAACTGCTGGTAGATTTAATCGTTTGCAAAAATAACTAGAATTCATCCGGATAAAATCCTAATTGCTCAGTCGGAATCTTATACGGTCACGTCGATTTTCCCCTAGCTAGAAAAATCCTCAAGCAATATCCCGATTGGTCCTTTAGCTTAACTTTACATCTCACATCTATCCATAGTTACGGCAATCTATGTGCGAAAGTCCTAACGACCCTAGCGCGAAAGGTTCGTCACTTTGGAAATTCTTCGCGATTTTTCTTCGAGATTTTCGTTTATTCTAAATAACGGCAGTGTACACTATAAGATATATGTACGGTTAAATTCTCTTATCATTATCTGGAGATATACATTGCATAAATTCGACGAATCCTGCTCGTAATAATGTGCGATTTTCTTGCGATTGCCAACGGTTGCTTTGTGCCTGCAGATAGAAGGACTGCCGTATGCTAAACTGCGCGATAATTGGACTTGGTGACTTCTATGCGACCAACGGTGGACCGTTCGCGAAACTGACGCGACGTGCAGAACGTATTGCACGATACGTATCCTGCGAGTGGAAGGACACGTACCTGAAAGTCGCGTTGAGCTGTACGTGTCTCTCACTTACGAACAGCTGCACAGTGAATTTCAAAACGGTTTGCAAACTTCTTCTCGATGCAGTTCGGTACGCGGTCAATGGTCCAATGAGAGAACTGGGAATTAATGTTGAGATTAAAATTAAGATAATCTTAAGACACGAAAGAACGAGATCTCCCATTAGACCGTCGACTGCGCTCCAGAGCTGCATCGGAGGGAAAGTGTTGAAGCCGTTTTGAGACCAAGTGTACGACGAGTTATCACGCGAAGTGAAATCCGCGAATGCTATTAGCGAGTCCCTGGGCTCTTCGTAGACCATCGATCTTCTGCGGGTCGCGAGGAGAATCGTTAAGCCGTTTCTCCGTATTCTCCACATTAGGAGTCTGCGTTTACCGTTATTACAAGCGCGTATATGTGCGTGTGCCTTGTGTTGAGATTTTTCTTGAATGTTGCGCACCACACACTTGCTCGTTAATTTATTCCGGATTCCTTTGTACAAGTGGAAACAGATCTCTTATTCCGGAGCTCGAACATGACGACGTGAGCGCTCA